CTCTCTCTCTCTCTCTCTCTCAAGATTTTAAGTAAGAAAAACAGGGTTTTAAGTCTCGCTTAAAGTCAAAATAACGTTGATACAATCTTGAGGGCTTAAGTATATCAGTCATAATTCATTAATCTGCAATTTCTGAATAATTAGAATATTTTAGCTCCATTGCGTTATTAATTTTACTGTCAAATACATTATAACAAAACTTTAAAAAGTAATCATATTTTATATTTTATATTTATTTAGTTTAACGCAATATATAGTATATCATATTTAGCACAATTCGATTTTCTGAACATAATTATTTCATTGTTACAAGTATGCTTCTAATGGTTGCAAATCATCAATATCTCAAAAACAACATAGTTTTACATTAATTTTATTAATATAATAACATAATTCGAGGAAAATATATAGCAATATAAGTATATACATATAAGCAAATATTTTAGAAACAAGTGGTCATAACAATTTTCCACAGCCATTAGAATATTTTCATAAAAAACGTATTTTATAGGCAATACGCATTGTGGTATTACGGCCTCGTTCAGGTGACGATCGTATGTCAAATTTTAACTGCTATCTTTATGGATTTTATGAAAGGAAAATTGACGTACAAAGCATGGGTGCCATTCGACCACACGTCACCCATTATGTTTTTTTTCGTATTCACTCATCAAATGATAGGTATGTCAACCTGCGCGTCTGTAAATGTTGCCTGCGACAGCCTGATAGCCGGACTCCTGCAGGAGATTTGCTGTCAGTTTGATCTTCTGGAAAATCGATTGATGAAAATCGTACGTGATCGACATGTTCTCTCCGATTGCGTACGGCACCACAACCGTATATATGAGTTAGTTTTTAAAACAATTTTTGTTATTTTAAAAGTTTGCAATGTGATCGTTAAATTGATCGGGGAAAAATTGTTCGTTTGTTGTACGCGTGTTTCTCTTCTTCGAAATTCTCATCTCAAAATAACTCCGAAAATTATTAAATCGTTATCTGATATAAAGAATGCCATGAGAGGTGTTCGATGAGATTGATAAATGACTTTAAATGTTACACATAGAAAACAAACTAAAATTCTTTATTTAATCGTAGATACGCATATATGGTAAATCGCAGATTTGCAAAGATAATTGCTCTTCAGTTCGCAGTAAGCATGCTAGTGGTGTGTGCTAATTTGTATAAATTGGCTTCGATTTCTATCCTGATGATCAATGGAAGTATTGGACTAATAATGTATACGGCGTGCATGTTATCGCAGATCTTCCTCTACTGCTGGTTTGGAAATGAACTTAAATTAAAAGTACATAGTTCGTCTGTATATACAAAAGATCTTGTATTTACACATAAAAAGATAAATTATATTTTTTCTGTGACAACTTTAAACAGTATAACAATAAAATAGTAAGAAGAAGAAAAAGAATCATAATCTCACAACCATATACGCTATCTCTTTCCACAATATTTTATTAAACGTTTACTTACAGAGCACCGAATTAGTGAACAGCATATACAAGATCGGGTGGTTGACGTTTGATATCAAGACGAAAAGAGCTCTCCTGCTAATTATGAAACGCACGATGGTTCCAATTGAATTTAATAGCGCGATTATCATCAAATTGAATCTTGACTCGTTTGTATCTGTTAGTATTCATCATTTATGAGAATACATTTAATTTATTTTTTCCTATAAACGATTCAAGCAATATTAAATGCATTATAAACCTTTTTTTTACAGTTACTTAAAGCATCGTATGCGGTTTACAACGTATTGACGAGCATTCAGTAGGAAAAAAAACATAATTGATAGATAGAAATTATTATTCTTCATATTTCACGAAGCATCGTACGAGCTTCTATTTTGTAGCAATTATTCTATTTTAATATTAAATTAAATGTTTGTTTTACATCGATGTTCTTATCTAATAATGTTTTAATTACATTATTACAATAATGTACTACGATATGTATTTTTTATGTGCAAATATATGCACACAATATACGTTGAAGAGCAAAAATAAATGTATTAACATATTGCCGATATGTTTATTTATTTTTAGGCAATATATGAATTGTTTGCGAAAGATTTATATTAGCACGCATTTTGCTCTGAGATGTGTAAAAAAAATATTAAATTTATAGTTATGACGAGAATTAAGATGATATTACAAAAAATTTATATTGACAATAGATGTCCAAATAGCATTGTTATAAAGATTTTCGATATTACTCCATAATAGAAATAATTAAGTAACGATTTCTCCATGCTGCAAATATTTATATTCTGCATTTGAAGCGTTGAATAATATTCTATTAGAGTAAATATAATATTGCAAAGAAAAACAATGCAATTAAATATACTATAATAAATACGAAAATGTTGAGGCTATAAAAGTTTTCAAAGTAGTAGCGGTTAAAGTTCTCCAATCACAGCTGACATTTCGCACATTCAGGCATGTCAATATGACAAGTGATGAAGACATTACCACGCGAGCACAACCCCTCTCACAACGTCGACATTATCGTATAAATAATGTAATAATATTTTAAGAAATCGTTTCTGCTTCTATGTACAGAATCTATTTATACATAACGTATGCATAATAAATATTGAAACGTATTATAAAATATTAATTTTCAGTAGTGAAATTACGAACTGTCAAAATAAATTTATAATATTCATTCATCTCGTTATATCGATACTTAATGTCATATCAACATATCTAAGCGCGCGAAATGTCAGCTCTGTGATTCGAGAACTTTAACCGCTACTAATTTAAAAACTATTATAGCCTCAACAATTTCGTATTAGAATTTTCGTCTCCAAATTATCTCAAGAATACATTCTTAACAGATAATACGGTAGTGACGGGATACCCTGTATAATAATCTTTTGACATGATTAAATGCAACTTAGAAATACAAACTTTATTTTGATTTTAAATCAATTTTACATAACTTAGAATTTGCGTAAAATTGCAAAAAAGTCATAAAAAATTAATATTGTGTGTGTATGTGTGTGTGTATGTGTGTGTGTACTTTCAAATAACCTCATATACGTAGCTTACATTAATCTTTATAAAGACATTTTTTTTGTAACAAAATTTTTTTCTAATGCAATTTCGTCAGTAAGTGCCTCTCTCATCCCACTGATAAGATTACGACAGACATAGTGAAAGTGGTGGCACGCATTTTGCAGAGCCTTTAGATAAGGGAGTATAACATCTATATAAAGCTGAAATGAAGATGTTATAACTATTCACTCTTACCTTTTTCATAAGAGCGTACACAACGCAAGCCTTCTAATCGTATCGTGACAGAAGATCGACTTCAGCAACTTTGCGGCAATTATTTCCTACGGAAAGGATTTCATTTACAGGTAAATTTTCAAATGTAATATTCATTAAATTAAATTGTAAATCTTAAGATATGTAGAACAACTTTACAACTGACTGTGTGTGCATCACAAATTTTTATTATTGAATACATTTACATACATCATATGAGGATAAGATGAGCATTATTCGGAATATTTAATTTTTATCGGATAAATTAATTCACTAGTAAAAATTTATTAGTGAATTACAAAAGTACTTTACTAGTGATTTACAATAATTGTTAAAATATTTCTTTCTTTTTCAATACACTTACTTCGTTGACGCACAATCGTTCCACTCTCGAAATAAAATTTTTAATTAGTCTTTTTCAGTTCCGCATGCATTAGGTACTACTTTCACATTTTGATCAGTAAAATTGACGATTTCTTAAAACACGCACACACACATTTTTGAGTAAACAGATTGTGATTACTTGCTCTTTTATTACTATCCGTTCAAAGATGTCTTAAAAAATCGTCGATTTGTTGTTGATCAAAACGAATAGTGCATTCGTGGTTAACAGACCTAAAAACAGTTTTCTCTGACGTAACAAAATTTGTATATCAATGAATCAAGTATACTAAAAAACAAGGTTATTATGTTGGAAAATAATGTAAATGTATTCTCTATAGTAGGTATTGTAATAAATTTTATAATGACTGTGTGTGCATGTGCGTGTATGTATGTATACGCTGTATGTTTGTCATGTATGTGTATGTATGTATACGTTTAAATAAAAAAACTAATATAAATTTATTAATTATTAATTCTTTCTGTTTAAATAAACTATTGAAATAAATTATTATTATATATAAATCATTTTTCCGTACATTACTTTTTATATTGTACAACATAAATGTATACCTTAGTTATTTTATTTTTAGAGAATATTTTTATATTTATAATATATTAAAATATAATTCAAGACGTGTACTTGTTCAATTTATTTGAAGGAAAAGACCATATAAATATTAAACTATAAACTGAGATGCAAGATTCAGTATTTCTTTATATTATCCAATAATAACGTTAATAATATTTTTCTTATAAAACAAATTGACATCTTTACACTTTAGAGATTATTCTAAATTTGATTGGAAATAGGGGAAACAAAATCTCTGTCATAAAGGGATATCTTTAATAACATTATTTTATTTGATAAATATTTAATTGATCTGTATATTGTTTTGATAAAACGTATGTGATATTGAAACCGCAAGCAATTAAACTATACGGTCTCAGAGAAAAGAGAAGCGAGTGTGAGAATCAGTGTGTGAAAAATGATGATTACTCGAATTAATCAAACGAGCATTACCGCATTCTTGAAGCAATGTGTACCTACATGTGCATGAATACATATACATAGGCGTACACATATATACGTCGCATGATGAAGCAAATATACACTTAAACGTATATAAGCAGAAATATGCAGATATTCGTTCTTTTTTTATTCTTCGAATATCTTTGGCAGAAACTAATCAAACGCATCAAGTATTGAAGAAACTACTTCATTCCTAATTACAATAATTAAGAATTAAGAATTCTACTTTCCTTGATACAATCTAATTAAAATATTGTATTATTAAAATTTGAATTTATAGCATAAACCAAAAGTTTAAAACACTTTAAAAAATTGACATTTTTAGAGTTATTTATCCAAAATCATGTATTCTTTTTAACACTAATTCTTTAGATTCAACAATTATTTCACAAAATCAGAAATATAGTTTTACTTTGTTTTTATCAATTTTTATATAATCGTGTATTATATAGTATGTAATATAGTTTATTTGCTTTATCAGTGTTTCCAAATCTTCAGTCTGCAATATATATACAAATTATTATATTACCATCAATTATTATAAAAGATTTAAATAGAAAATTTCTTTATTTAAATTTTTTCTTAAAAAATTATAAAGAAAAAGAATGCAAAAGTTACATAAAATAACAAATTTCCAATATTATTTATCACTTTTTATAAAATCGCTTTTTGCTTTTTATAAAATCACATTTATAAAATTTCTTTTGCTTATTTTGCATAATAGTAAAAGTTTCGCATGTCTTCTGCAGAAATTTATTTCGCTCCACAGGTGTGAGAGAAAAAATAATTATAAGTCTTTATTCGCATACCTCGTGACATTTATCTTCGTGGATTACGTGAGACCTTACGAAATGCAAAGGAACAAGAAGAATTTGTGATAAGTTTAGGCTCTGTCATTTCCGAATAAAGATAACGCGCAGATGCTGAAATGACAAGGTTTTAACCTCTTCTGTATCAAAAGTTATGTCATTATATTAATACAGTAATCATTAATCATCTTTGAAATTGACGCGATTTCTCTATACACTGTACTCCCAATTATGGAATTCATAATGAATTAATGTTACAACATTTAAGAAGTAAAAGTTCATCCACAATTTATGTTTGTTAAGTAACATAATCCGGGGATATAGCAACATACAAAGAGTTTTGTGCAATGCACCATACGTAAATTCTCTGGTAAAAGTTTTGACTTCGTACTTAATTAATTTGAGCAGAGAGAAATAACCTTCGAATAAACGATGAAAATATTCTCTATTACGTTTCCTAATACGACGATGCATCGAGTATAATATGTTTTAACTGTCATTCGACTAGTCGCACGTTCCTAGCCGGCGCGGTGTGAGACTTACAACACCTTTCACCTTACTCAAGCATGATCCCACTACTTACTTCCCGATATTTTATCACATTGACGTCATAAACGTGTGCATGTAGCAATTAATGCCAAAATCAATCACAATTCGGTTTCATTAGCGGATTAGTGATATAAAAATGAGACACTGGAAAACATTCATTTGAGAATGCATGATGAACTTCTTGGACTTCCTGCAAGTATAGTGTTTGATTAATAAAGAGTCATTAGATTTTATTCAAATAGTGTTAGTTTTAATAGTTTTAATTAAATAGGGATGCATATTAGTTAAAAGAGTTTGTTTAACAGATGAGTAATCGTGCAGAATCTATTTATTTTGTAATGCTGCACAAAAAGAACGATTTTGCTGGAAGATAAAAAAAATCTGAAAATAATTTTTGTTAGGTCATCATCAAAATAATTTTGAAAGTCAAACTAATTGCTAGAATATCAAAATTTTTTACAGTAATGCTTACAATTCTTCATTTTTCGACAAAATGTTTTGATGATGCACTAACAAAAATTATTTTCGGATTGTTTTTATCTTGCAGCAAAATCTTTCTTTCCGTGTGAACGAGCAATAATCATTTATCATATCATGCGAATGATTAAATACTGAATAATATAAATGTAATATCATAATTTTGTAATTATTGTATTCCAGTAATTATTTTAATGTAATAATAGATTTCTAACATAAACCAAAATTCTAATTTATTTATTAATATTTATAACCGTGATCTTATTAATTAAATTAAAACTCTAACGGTAAATCGATAATTTTATCTATTTTATTCTCTTCTCGTATATCTTAAGTGTTTCTTTTCATATTTATTTTATTTTTAATAAAATATTTAAATACATTTTTTTGTTTTATACGGGAAATAGAGAAATAATAAATACTGAAACGATATTTAAAACAATATCTGATTATTCCGCAAATGTTAATCGCCAGAAAGAATATTGTCTTTTAAAAAGCATTTTCTGGATAACCACGAAGTTAAATGCCATCCATAAATTACTCCAATTAGATTCTCTGGAATTATAAAATATATCAGACGAGGACACACTTAAGCAGCTTAATTATAATCTATTTTAATGAAATACTCTCATACACGAGAAAAAGCGAACGATAATTAAAACAAAACCGGTTCTAAATAAAAAGATACACACACACTTTTTACGATTTCGAGATCAAAAAGTAAATGTCATTGGTTGCATGTTGAATTTTCCAAATTTTAAAGATCTGTCGATATAATCGCGCGCGGTTCCTTTTTTTCCTTTACGATTGCGATTAATTTTGCGAAATCTCGGAAATGATCCAACAGAGAGTAATTCTATAAGTAACGATACGAGTCTCAATACGTTACACTGCCGAAATTATTTTTATCGTTATTTTCCGACAATTAAATTTTATTGACTGCATTTTTTATTGCATTATTTTACTGCATTATTTTATTGACTTAAATTTCATTACGTGATTCGGAATTTTAAGCATTTCGTCGACAGCTATATAATTAAATTATTATAAAATTACGTGTTAAATATTCTTCGACAATGCTGCTTTCGAAATTCGCAAGAGATACGATCGGGCCAAAGGCCAAAGTATTCATTCTTTATGAATCTCGCGTCCAACTCATTCATAGAAGCTTGAAACAAATACCTATCGCACGCTTGAAACAAATACCTATCGCACGCTTAAATGTAATAGCTATGTGTAATGTGTAAGCAACAATTTTTATAATCATCGGCATATACATACCATCCTACAAAGCGGAAAGACGTTAAAGAAGAAATCGATACTTGCACACTCTCACTCCTTTTCTTATCATAAGTCATCTCATCTATACGATAAAATCAAATGCCGACAGCTGCAATTACAGCCTGCATAGATATACGTAATGATCATTTCTTGCTTTTGACGAGAAACTCAACATATCCCATCTGTGATTCATTATTTTATCAAACATATCTTCATATTCCTGGCGGAAAAATTTTTACGTAAATTAAAAAAATAATTACAAAAAGCTAAAAATTTATACAAAAAATTATAAATTGAAGCAAGATCTTAGAAATTCTTAATTTTCCATAATAATTCGTAATATGAGACGTTGAGTGACATGTTTTTATCATATTTCTAAGAACTACGCTCTTTAGATATTTTATGTATTTTTACAAAATTTTACAAAAATTGAATTGTTGTAGTATTGCGTATTTTTTCGTATTTACACGTTGTTTGGCACTAAAATTCATCCTTATTCGTAGAAATTTTTCCACCGGGGCTACATCAATGACACTTGATTATTATAACGTCGAATGCGACTTCACGCGAGGCGATTATTTTAATTGCTGAAGTCATATGCGAAGTTGTGGTTGTTGAAATTGAGAGATAAAAAAAGGAAAAATTATTAACTAAAATAAAATTTATATTTTAAGAATGAGGTTCATCACGGCGATTGTTATCATCGCTCTCTCGGATGCAGCGGTAAGCAGCCCGGATTTTGGCGATCGCATCACTCGTGTAAAAAGTTCGAACGCGAATTCCGGTAAGAAAATTACGGAAGAATTCTAATGCTTCTCCTTTATCGAAGAAAGAGAGAAAGGCGATATATGAGTGTTGATTTACAGAGAGTTTAATGCCGCTAAAGTTAAAAATGTACGCTACTACTGTAAACGTAAATTGAGATTTTGAACGCTAAAAAGCTGCGTAATACACAGAAAACACTGCCCCATCAATTTAGATATTAGACGTACAAAATTATCCTTAACTGATTACATATCTTACATAATTGATCATTTTATCATGACATTTGAACATTACGATATTTACTTCATCATATTTAACGTTAGAATTGTTTTTGATGCACGTTTGTGACACGACATCAACAATATTTCAGCTCAAGCATTAATGAGTTACAAAATTCTCTTGTAATTATTTTTGAAAAAATGCATTCTCTGTTTTATCTCTTTTTTAAATCGTATTTTATAAAATAATTAAAATAGTTAAAAGAAATTGACGATATGTAAATCGATATTCACTATGACCTCGATAATAAAAAATATCATAAATTTTTATTATTATTTAATATAATTATTTTTAACATTTCCCTATTATAATTATTTTATTCTATCTTGTCATTGTTAGATTCCAAAAAGCGTAACTTTAATTCATGTAAATCTCTGTTGATCTTTATTTAATATTTTACTTTTGTTGTAAATTATAAATAATAAATATTTGAGCAAAAGGAATCTGCTGTGCAAGTAATTGTTTTCAGAAGATAATATCAGAATATTTTACAAAGCTTCATTGATACTATCGTCATGTGTTCACGGAAATCACAAAATCTATTACAGTGGATTCTCTCTCGACAAGTCTTTTTTTTTACAGTTCGTCAGCAATCGGACCCAAATGAGTACTTGTCATTGTTCAACATCCATCAACAGCTCGAAAAACTTCAATCTATTCTTAGAGACTCTCAACAAAAGAACGAAATGAACTATACTCTCCAGCCGTCGTCATTAACCGACACTCCATTGAACATCAGTTTCTCGGCATCCGAACACTCTTTATCCATTCCACATTCAACCCCGCAATCGACTAGTCAACAATCCTCATTATACGTACCGCAAAGTTTCAATGGCTCTACATTCTACAATCCTCAGTCAAATCAGCTTACATTCCCGATTCTTTTGCCACTGAATTGCTCGGAATCGTC